TCAATTAGTATTTGTTCAGTGAATGCATTATTAAAATATAAACTTAATTTTTTAAAACTTTAAATTAAATAACTATTAAAACAAAACTTATTTTGGGTAAAGAAATCATTTTATTTCAGTCATTTAATATTGAGTTCAATTATAAAAGTTATATAAAGCAAAAACATTTTATCAGACACTAAATATATAAAACCATTTTAAATTGTTGATAATTAAAAACAAAAACTTTATAATAATCGTTGCATTCGTGTCTATTAAATAGACTGTAAGTCATTGCAAGTTGTGATAAGTTTATGACAACTTCTGGTCCACTTTCAGCACAATCTATGGATAAGATTTAAAGATAATTACTGTCAATAGGATTATTAATTCAATAATTGAATGTTTATTACAGATTTAATTTCAGTGAACTCGTAGAGACCATCCTTTCCAGCCTCCCGTCCCACTCCGGACTGTTTGTAACCCCCAAACGGGATCTGAGGGGTGATGGAGATGTGGTGATTGATCCACACGTTACCGGTGCGCACGGCCTGCGCGAAGTACATCGCCTTATCGGTGTCGCGAGTGAACACTCCGGCGTCCAAACCATAGTACGAGTCGTTGATGCGATCGATCACCTCATCGATGGTCCGGAACTTCAATATAGTCATAACGGGTCCGGTCAGCTCCTCCCTCGCGATCTGCATATTGTCGGTCACGTCAGACAAACTGTCGGCGCGATTATCGTATCAATTAGTCTCAAGTAATAATCATTTGGATTATGAATGGCTTACACCGTGGGCTCGATATACCAGCCCTTGTTTCCCCATCGCTTGCCTCCAGTCAACACTTTGGCGCCTTCTTTGCGGCCGCACTCTATGTATTGAATGACTTCATTGAACTGGTGTTCATCGATCTGTGGGCCCTGTTCTGTGCGGTTGTCAAAGGGGTCGCCAAGGACTCGGTTTTTGCACAAATCTGCGCATTTGTGCACAAACTTGTCGTAAATGGCTTCGTGAACATAGATCTTAGTGGACGTGCAACAGGCCGTACCGGTGCTCATAAACACATTCAAGTGCTGAAAATGTCTTGAAAATTAGGTTTTCATTCAAAATGATGCAAAAGTGGTTGAATTCATACCGAAGTCATTGCCGACCAATCGATGTCCGCGTCGTCGAAGATAACGAAAGGAGATTTACTGACGGTTTCGAGGGTTACTCTCTTCATGTTTGACTTCCCGGCCATCATTTGCACCAATTTTGCCACTTTTGTGGAGCCGGTGAATGATATCATGTCGACGTCCATGTGCTCAGCCAACGCGGCACCGGTGACATGTCCCTGACCCGGTAATACATTGACAACACCGGGCGGAAAGCCGGCCTCTTTCACCAGTTTCGCGAAATATAGAGCAGTCAAAGGGGTCTGAAGTGAA